TGGATGGATGGATGGATGATGGATGGAGGATGGATGGATGGATGGATGGATGATGGATGGAGGATGGATGGATGGATGGATGGATGATGGATGGAGGATGGATGGATGGATGGATGGATGATGGATGGAGGATGGATGGATGGATGGATGGATGATGGATGGAGGATGGATGGATGGATGGATGGATGATGGATGGAGGATGGATGGATGGATGGATGGATGATGGATGGAGGATGGATGGATGGATGGATGGATGATGGATGGAGGATGGATGGATGGATGGATGGATGATGGATGGAGGATGGATGGATGGATGGATGGATGATGGATGGAGGATGGATGGATGGATGGATGGATGATGGATGGAGGATGGATGGATGGATGGATGGATGATGGATGGAGGATGGATGGATGGATGGATGGATGATGGATGGAGGATGGATGGATGGATGGATGGATGATGGATGGAGGATGGATGGATGGATGGATGGATGATGGATGGAGGATGGATGGATGGATGGATGGATGATGGATGGAGGATGGATGGATGGATGGATGGATGATGGATGGAGGATGGATGGATGGATGGATGGATGATGGATGGAGGATGGATGGATGGATGGATGGATGATGGATGGAGGATGGATGGATGGATGGATGGATGATGGATGGAGGATGGATGGATGGATGGATGGATGATGGATGGAGGATGGATGGATGGATGGATGGATGATGGATGGAGGATGGATGGATGGATGGATGGATGATGGATGGAGGATGGATGGATGGATGGATGGATGATGGATGGAGGATGGATGGATGGATGGATGGATGATGGATGGAGGATGGATGGATGGATGGATGGATGATGGATGGAGGATGGATGGATGGATGGATGGATGATGGATGGAGGATGGATGGATGGATGGATGGATGATGGATGGATGAGAGAGCAGTCTATGGAATTGGGAGAGGATCCCATGACACTGACAGAGAATTCCATGGGGCTGCCAGAGCCCCAGCCCAGCACGGACCTCTCCAGGTGCCCAGACCTCTGTGCCCACCTTTAGGGGTGGCAGGGATCCATCTCCCCACGAATCCAGCGCTGGGATCCCTTTTTGAATCCCCCCAGGCAGCCCCGAGCGCTCCCAGATCCCCTCCCCACCCCAGGCCCTGCTCTCCCGGCTGGATCCGCTCCCCCCTCGGCGCTTTCCCTGTCACTGTCATGTCCTGGTCCTCATTAAATCCCTCCTACAAGCCAGGATAAAATTGCTTTTACCCAATTTCCTCCAGGCTGGAGGATTCCAGCGGGGCCGAGCCAGCGCTGCCCGTCCCAATCCGATTATCCCGCCCGATCGATGCCGGCCCCTGACCTTTGGCAAACTCTCACCTGCCTCCCGACGCGCCCCGCGTCCCCTCCCGCGGCTCTTCCCGCACCGATCCCCGCCAAAGCCCCGCTGGGAAAGCGTTAATTAAAATAAAACCAATCGCGGGGTGATTGAGGGGCCGGGAGGGCGCTGGGCAGGGGGAGCGGCCCCGCGGATCCCTCGGGGTGTGCGGGGACCCGGGGCAGGGTCCGGCCCCGCTCCCGGCCGCATCCCGCAGATGCTCGCGCCTCATTTGCATAAGCAATGAAGGCAGCAATTAAGTTCCCTCATCATCTCGGCGGGCTGGGAAGAGAGCTCCCTCCTCCTGCGGCAGGCACTGCTGGGAAGAGCCTCTGGAGAGGCGAAATTCCCACCCGGGGGTGAAATTCCCACCTGGAGGAGAAATTCCCACCCGGGGGTGAAATTCCCACCCCCACTTGCACAGGGGAAACTGAGGCACGGCTGAGCGGGCAGCTGGAATTGCCGGCCCAGCCACGGAGAACATCCCGGCCTGGAGTGGGTTGGGAGGATTCAAAAATCCACTGGATCTCTCTGGGCTGCACAGTGGGATTAGAGGGTTGTTTTAGGGCCCTTCCAGTGGGAATATTCATTCAATCCTATTCAATCCTATTCAATTCAATCCTATTCTATTGTATTTATTCCTATTCGATTCAATTCAATCCTATTCTATTCTATTCTATTCTATTCTATTCTATTCTATTTATCTCTATTCTGTTTACCCCTATTTTATTTCTAATTTATTTCTATTTTATTTATATTTTTTCTATTTTATTTCCATTTTGTCTTCATTTAATTTCATTTCCATTCCATTCTATTCATCCCTCTTCCACCCCACCTTGATCTCGCTCTGCTCCAGCCGAGCACTCAGTCAATTAAAACAAATCCCCACCCCCAAACCAGAAACCAACGCAGCGAAAAGCGCAGCGCTGAGCCAAGGAAAATAACAAATCTCCTCTCGGCCGGCTCATCCCCACTGACACTGGTTTCCTCCCGGCTGCGGAGTTCCTGATCCAGCAGCAGCAGCCCCGGGATCAATCGGTTCCCGAAGCCGGGCCGGGGGAAGGAGCCGGCCCCGCCCGGGGATCGATGGATCATCGATGCCGCTGCCGCCGCCGCCGGGCGCGGCCCCGTCCTCAATCCCGTTCCCATTCCCGGGATTTTCTCCCCGGAGCTGCCCGGGCCCTGGTTTCTCTCCCGGGTTTGTTTTCCCCAGCCCGGCTCGGCTCTCCCGGAGGTTCCTCCAGGCCGGCCTTATAAGGGCCCGAGGATTCATCCCGAATCCCCCCCGCCGCCGGCAGGGTGATGGATGGCGCTGGAAAACACGGGAAGAAAGGGAAAAAGGGAAGGGGGGAGGCCGGGAGCTGCCAGGGCGGGGGAGGGAGGGAGGAGGAATTGCAGGCCTGGAGAGCAGGGAGAGAAACCCGAGCAGAGCGGGACACCCCGAGGGGAATGGGGTTGGGGCTGGGGAGCTCGGGGGCGCTGCGTCGCTCCTGCCCCGGGGTTTTGGGGTGCCTGGAGCCTTGGGGTCACTTCCAACCCCAGCAGGAATGGGTGCCCGGGAGCCCCGGGCAGCACCGGGGACAATCCCGTGCCCCCTGTGTGCCCAGTGTCCCCCATGTCCCCTGTGTGCCCCATGTCCCTGTGTCCCCAAACCCTGCAGTCCATCCCAATGGGAATTCACCTTCCCTGCTCCACCCACCCCACCCCATCCCTGTAGGAACAACTGGGCCCCATTGCCATGGGATAACTGACCCCATCCCTGCAGGAATCACAGCCCCATTCCCATGGGATCACAGCCCCATTCCCATGGGATAACTGACCCCCTCCCTGCAGGAATCACAGCCCCATTCCCGTGGGATTACAGCCCCATTCCCATGGGATTACAGCCCCATTCCCGTGGGATCACTGACCCCATCCCTATGGGGATCACAGCCCCATTTCCATGGGATATCTCACCCCATCCCTCTGGAATCACAGGCGGGATGGGCTCTTCCAGGGTTTTCCCGGGATGTTCCCAGACTGGCACCGGGCCATGGTGGTGACAGGGACGGGGCTCGGGGACTGCGGGTCACGGGCTCGGTGTCCCCAGCACGGGGAGAGCAGGGGGAGGAGGAGGAGGGGGAGGAGGGATTTATCCCCGGGCCCGAGGAGAACATCTGGATTTGCCACTTGCTGCGGTGAATTAATTGCGGGATCCCGCTGTGCCAGCCCTGCCTCCCGTCTGCTCCCGGGAGTGTCCCCGGGCATGGCGTCCCCTGTCCCCTGTCCCCCGCAGCCGGGGGAAGCCCTGTCACCCCCTCCCATCCCCCTGGGGCTGCGGTGTCATCGGCGATCCCATAAAAACCCCTTAAAACGTTGGGATTGTGGCTGGCATCCCAAACAAACCCTGGGTGGGCATCCCAAATCTCGGGTGGGCATGCCAAACAAACCCTACGTGGGCATCCCAAACAACCCTGGGTGGGCATCCCAAACAAACCCTGGGTGGGCACCCCGACCCCCGGGTGGGCACCCCGGCCCCCGGGTGGGCACCCCGGCCCCGGGCACCTCCCGGCCGCTCCCAGCTGGCCCCGGCGCGGCTCTCTGGCTGCGGGCGCTGCTCCATGTGGCTCGCAGATGTTCCGCCCGTGACGGAGAACAAACGGCAGCTTTGGCTCGGCGCGAATCGCGCGGAGGAGCTGCGAGCGAGGGAATTCCGTGGAGCCGTTCCCGGGCCGAGCCGGGCGGGAGCAGCCGGCCCCGAGCACCCCGGGCTCTGGGTTGGCTTTTCCAGAGGAAACGCGGCGCTTCCCCGCCGTGACCCGCGGGATTTTGGGGCTGCGGGGGTGGGAAGCGCTGGATTTTGGGAGCCCCAGGAGCACCTGCAGAGCCCGGAGCGGGGAGGAAACACCTGGAGCTGGACGCACACGAGGCCGAATCCGCCGGGCCGCGGCCCCGGGAGCCGCCCGGGGCGGTGCCAGCGAGCGGGGCCGTGCCGGTGGCACCGGGGACCGCGTGGCACTGCCGGGTGACCCCGCGGGTGACACAGCGCTGCGGGTGGGCAGCGAGCCCTGGCATTTGCAGCTGCGTGGCACCGGGCAGGGCAGAGTCACCGTGCCCGGACAAAGGAGGGCGGCACGCGGGGACCTTTCAGGGACCGCGGGGCGCCCAGATGGGATTTCTTTGCTGCGGAGGGCAGAAAGACAAAGGTTTAATTCAGCCCCAGCCGCGTGTCCCCCTCTGGGGGCCTCTCGGGGTCACCCGCAGAGCGGGGACAGGTCTGGGGTGTCCCCGGTGTGGGGGTGCTGTCCCTTGTCCCCCGAGCCGGAGCGGGGCTGGGGACCCCATCCCGCCCCGCGGGGCTGCGGTGGCACCGGCGGGGACACGGCGGGGACGGAAGGACGGGGACAGACACACGGACAAGGAGGGGAGGGGATGCAGGGGGGATGAAGGACGGACAGACAGCGCAGAGGAAAAGGATGGATGGGCTGAAGAGCCCGGCTGGGCTCGGGGGAGCGCACCCCAAGAGCGCTCCCGATGCTCCGGGGGCGGGGAGGATGAGGAGGAGGAGGAGGAGGAGGGGGAGGGACTTGCAGCCCTTTTCTGGCCGCCGCCGCGGCGGAGAGCGGCAGAGCGAGGGCAGCCCGGCCGCGCTCGGCTCCGGGGGTGTCACCGGCCCCGCTCCCCCCTCGCCATGGCCGGGCTCCTGCCGCTGCTGCTGCTCCTGCTGCCGGCGGTGAGTGCGGGGAGCAGCGCCCGGGCAGCCCCGGCGGGGAGGGCGCGCAGCGTCCGGGGGCACCGGGAGCGCCCGGGGGCACCGGGGCACGGACAGTCCCCGAGACAGCGGGCGGGGGCAGGATGGAGGGGCGCGGGGGCTTCACACGGGGGGGTTCGGGGGGCCCCGGGACGGGAGCCCCGCGGGTGAGGGGCACAGGCAGGAGCGGGGTCCCCGCCGTGCGGGGCTGGAGGGTCCCGGGGGCACCGGAGAGCCCCAGGGGTGGGCCGGGCAGAGCTCTGTGGGGTGCGGAGGGAGCTGGGTGGGGATGGGGGTCCCGCAGCCCCGCCGGTGCCGCTGCCCCGAGCTCTGCCGCTGCCAAGGTGTCGGAGCCCCAGCCCGAGGGGAGCGGGGGCAGAACCCCCCGTGCCTTCACCACCTGCCCCCCACGCGCCCCCCGAAAACTGTCCCAGACTCTCCCGGCTCCGAAGTGCCCCAGAGCCGAGGCTGAGCCCCTTTTCCTGCCGGCAGAGCCCTCGCCGGGTGCCCCAGACAAAAAACTTCAGGGCAGGGGGGTCAGCAGGGAGGGGAGTGCCCGGAGTGGGGCCGGGGGGGTCCAGGCCCGCAGCTGGGGCAGGAACGGGGCTTTCTGGGGGGGCAGGGTTTGCCGGGGGTCCCAGGGGGGCCGTCAGGCAGCCGGACACCCCTCGGGCAGGATATTAAAGGCGGAGTTCGGCGGGGGCTGAGCAGCGGAGCGGGGCTGGCAGCGCCGTGCCGGGGGGGTCCTTTCCCCTCACCCCCACGAGATCGCCACGGCCAAACTCCCCCGGGAGCGCTGGGACAGCGGGCGGGGCCGGGAGGGCCCGGAGCTGTCCCAGCCGGATGGATCCCAACCATTCCCCCCCCGGCATCGCCCTCCCCCGGCTGCTGCAGCGGGGCCGGGCTCTGATGTCCCCACATCGCCCCTGCCCTGCCCGGGTCACCTCGGGGGCTGGTTCTGCACCTGCGGGGCTGGGAGTGTCCCGGGGGGACAGCAGGGACCCTGGCTGTGCCCCCCCGGCTGTGCCCGCTCCCCGAGGCCCCCCGGACCCCGCACCCTGCCCGGTACCCGCGCTGCTCCGCCCGGAGCCTCCGAGCGCCGGCCGCAGCCGCGGGGCTCGGCCGCGGCTCCCCGAGCTGCCGAAGTTCGGGAGGCGCTGCGAGCCGGGCTTTGGCGTCTCCCGGCCGCGCTGCTCGGCCCGGCGAGGCAGAGCGCGCCCGTCACGCTCGGATCTCGCCCCGGGCTCGTCTCCAGCTGGAGCATCCCCTGCGCGGTGCCAGCCCCCGGAACCCCGCTCGGGGCGGCTCTGCCCTCACCCAGCCGCGCCTGCCCGGGCTCCAGCCCCCCCAGCCGCCTCCAAAAGCAATTTAGAGCTTCCAGAGGTGTCGCCTGCGCCCTCCGCCCGCGGCCGGGCCGGGCCAGCTGTCAGGATGCTTTATGGCGTTAATACCGCGCCTTTGTCGCCGGCAGCCGCGCTAATAACGCCGCATTTCCGCGGCCCAACGCGGGCCAGGGGCCCTGCCCACCCCGGGGGGCTCAGCGCCCCCAGCCCCGCGGGAAGCCCCCGAGCGAGGGGCCCGGGCACCTGGAGCCGGGAATTGGGGGAGCGTGGGCGGGGGAGCCGGGGGTGGGGACAGGTGGGGACAGGTGGGGACAGGTGGCCCTGAGCGGGACCGGGTGGCGCGGGCAGCTCCGGCTGGGATCGGGAAGGGCTGGGATCGGGGAAAGGCTGGGATTGGGGATGGGCTGGGATTGGGGAAGGGCTGGGATCAGGAATGGGATGGGATTGGGGATGGGCTGGGATCGGGAAAGGGCTGGGATTGGGGAAGGGCTGGGATTGGGGAAAGGCTGCATCGGGGAAGGGCTGGGATCTCTGGGATCAGGGGATGCTCTGGGATCTCTGGATTCTCTGAGATTGCTGGAAGCTCTGTGACTGCGGGATGCTCTTGGATTCAGGGAAGCTCTGGGATCTCTGGGATGTCAGGGACTGTGGGATGATGTGGAATCGCGGGATTGTGTGGTGGATGTGGGTGCCCCGTGGCCAGCCCGGTCACGGTCACAGCCAGCCCCGTTCCCGGCTGGAAGCGCATCCCGGGAGCCGTGAGAGCCAAACCCGGGATGAGCCGTGCCCAGCCTGGCCCCCAAACCCCAAACGAGCGGGGTGGGGGCACTGCCTCACCCCAAACCCCTTCCCAGGGGACATTTGGGGTGCTGGGAGGATTCCCGATATTCCAATCCCTCCTGCCCACCAGGAGCAGGAAAAGGGGCTGGGAAAAGGGTTTGGGAAAAGGGCTGGGAAAAGTGTTTGGAAAAAGGGTTTGGGAAAAGGGGCTGGAAAAGGGTTTGGGAAAAGGATCTGGGGAAAGGGGCTGGAAAAGGGTTTGGGAGAAGGGTTTGGGAAAAGGTTCTGGGAAAAGGGCTGGGAAAAGGTTCTGGGAAAAGGTTCTGGGAAAAGGGCTGGGAAAAGGTTCTGGGAAAAGGGCTGGGAAAAGGTTCTGGGAAAAGGTTCTGGGAAAAGGGCTGGGAAAAGGTTCTGGGAAAAGGGCTGGGAAAAGGTTCTGGGAAGTGGGTTTGGGAAAATATTCTGGAAAAGGCACTGGAAAAAGGGCTTGGGAAAAGGGTCTGGGAAAAGAGTTTGGGAAAAATGTCCTGGGAAAAGGAGCTGAAAAAATGTTCTGGGAAAAGGATCTGGAAAAAAAGGTGTGGGAAAATGTTCTGGAAAAGGGGTCTGGAAAAAGGGTTTGGGAAAAGGGCCTGGGAAAATGTTCTGGAAAAGGGTTCTGGAAAAGGGGTCTGGAAGAAGGGGCTGCCAGGGCGGGCTGGCGGAGCCGCGGCGGGGAGGGGGAGCGGCGGGCCCGCAGCGCAGGGTAATTGGAGCACTTTGTCATTCAGCTGCCTGGAATTGGCGCTCCATTGTCTCGGCCCCGCCGGATGAGGAGCTCCGAGCGCCGCACCGAGCGCGGGGACGCGGCCAAGGCGCTGACGAGGCCGCCAGATGCTCCCCCGGGCCTCTCCCCCCTTCCCCAAAAGCGGCCGTGGGTGGTGGCAGAGGGAGGGAGCGGCTGCGAGCAGGGGGAGCAGGGCTGGGACCAGGGGATGGGGTTCCTGTGCCCCGCGGTGCGGCCAGGGGGGGTTTTGGGGGTTTTGGGGGGCAGCTCGCCCTCCCCGGGCTGCAGAGGGCCCGCGGGGTGTTTGTGGCGTTCGGGTGAGGTGACAGGTTGACACCCGGTGTCACCAGACAAGGAGGTCACCAGAGCTCTGCTGCTGCCTCAGTTCCCCGTTTCCGTCTCATTTCTGGAGCCCAGGGGGGTTTGGGGGGCAGAGGTGGCACCCAGGCTCTCCAGACCCTCCTCTGAGCAGGAATTCCTCCTCTCCTCTCCCAGTCCCCGGGCTGGGGAGGGCTGAGCCCCCCGGGGTGGCACAGTGCCCTTGGGGAGGTGGCTGAGGGAGGGACAAGGACAAACAGAGGCCACCCCACCCCAAAGCACCCCCGGGGCCCTCCCGGCTCCCTCCAGCCACAGAACCCTTTCCCGAGGAGTGAATTCTGCCTGGAAAAGCGCTTTCCCCCCCAAATCTGCATTCAGCAGGAGCAGGGTGTCCCCGGAGCCCCTCTTCCCGGGCTGTCCCACCCCGGGGTGACAGGGGTGACCTCCGGGCTCTGCTCTCCGCCAGGGCCCCGGGGCTGGCGCCTCCAAGGACGATTGTGCCTCCAAGCTGTTCACGGCCGGCGGCGAGTGCTGCCGCCTCTGCAACGTGGGCGAGGGCGTGGTGCAGCCCTGCGGGGTCAACCAGACGGTCTGCGAGCCCTGCCTGGACAGTGAGTACCCCCCGAGGACCCCCGGGCCCCGGGACAGGCCCTGGGGCCTCCCTGAGCATCCCTCGTGCCCCCTGGAAGTGTCACAGAGCTGAGGCAGGAGGGGCTCGGGCCAGGTTTTGGGGGGAAAATGGGTAAAAATGGAAGATTCCTCTCCCAAAATGGGAGATTCTTCCCCAAAAATGGGAGGTTCTTCCTCAAAAATGGGAGGTTCTTCCCCAAAAATTGGAGATTCTTTCCCCAAAATGGGAGTTTGGGGTGTGGGGATGGGCACAGCCCCACAGCGGGGTCTGGGCAGAGCTCTTAGGGGGGATTTGGGGTGGATGGTGCCATGCTCAGGGGGTTTGGGGTGGTCCCATGCCCAGGAGGATCCTTGGGATTGGGATATTCCCGGATCCCTGAGCCCTGCACGGGCACCAGTGTCCCTGCCAATCCCTCCCCTCCCTGGGGATCATTCCCAGCCCCTTCCCCGCTCTCTCTCACCTGCTGGCCCAACATTTATCCCCAAAAAATCCCCCAGAGCCATCCCCAGCCACACCTCCCGTTTGGGTTTTTATTCCAAACCTTTCAAAGGCCACAAAATCACAGCAAAGCCGGGGAGGGAGAGGCAAAGGCGGGCAGGGAGGGAGGGGCAGGCGCCCTCCGGGCCCGGCTCCGAGCGCCGTGGGCAGAGAGCGGGGCCGGGATCTCTGCCGGGATCTCTGTCAGGGGGATCTGCCAGGGGGATCTGCTGGGATCTCTGACAGGGGAGATCAGGGGGATCTGCTGGGATCTCTGACAGGGGAGATCAGGGGGATCTGCTGGGGGGAATCCGGGGGATCTGCCGGGATCTCTGTGGTGCCAGCCCCGGGAGGCGATGGGAGAGGGGGAAAGGCCAGAGTGGGATGGGGAGGGAGCGGACAGGAGGCAGAGGAGGCGGCAGGGACAGAGGAGAGCCAGGGCAGGGCTAAAAATACCTCAGCGTCCTGAGAAATCGATGGACGGCGCTGCCTCCCTGAGCCCGGCCGGGAAGCGGGGCTGGATCCCTCCTGGCTGAGGGGATGGATCCCAGTGGGGATGGATCCCAATGGGGGCTGGATCCACCAAGGGATGGATCCCAGTGAGGGACTGATCCCAGTGAGGGATGGATCCCACCAAGGGAAAAGCTCCTCCTCACCCTCAGCTCTTCCCTGAGAGGGATTTTGGGGTTTGGAGGGCAGGAAACCTGAAAAGCCCACAGCCATCCCTTGCTGGGATGGGGAGAGGACTTTTGTGGCCCTGGAACCCCCTGGACCCCTCTGTGACCCCCCAGATCCCTCTGTGACTCCCTGGACCCCTCTGTGACCCCCGGATCCCCCCGGGTGCCGCTGCCCCGGGCCGGGCAGGTGGAGGCAGCGCCGCTCCTGGCACAGCCCCCAGCCGAGCCCCAGGAATGTGGGCACGGCCCAGGGCCGAGGGTCCCCACCTGCCCCCCGGGCTGCCTCCTCCCAGCCCTCCCTTGGACGCGTTCCCGACCCCGCCGGGGGAATTGTTCCGGAACAAATCCTCTGCAACCGCAGCCCGGCCCCTGCCGAAGCCCGGGGGGCTGCCAGAAACCACCCCAAAGGGGGGGGTGCTCTAATTCCCCCCACTGCAGCCCCCCCAGTGCCCGGTGCTGCCTCATGATTTATTTATCCCCCGGGGGAGGGGGCCAGGGCCCCGTTTGGGTCTGGGCTGTAATTGCTCGGCTCAGATACCTTCGGCTGCCACTGCAAATGTGCCCACTCAGCCGAAAGCCTTTCCTGGCCACTTCCCCGCTCTAATGGCGCCCATCAATAATTCAGGATAATGCGAGGCACGAGCCCCGGTTAATGGGAGCCGCGTGTGCCGCCCGGGGCTGCGCCGGCGCTGCTCGCCCGGCCCGGCACGGCACGGCACGGCCCGGGGGCTGCTCGACCACCGGGGGCTGGCAGCGACAGCCACAGCGTGCCCAGGACAGCCCCGTCCCCGGGAGTGCCCCAGGACGGGCTCGGGAGCAGCCTGGGGTACAGGGGGGTGTCCCTGCCTCGGTGGGGTGCCAGCTCCCTCCTGACCCAAAGCATTCCGGGGTTTTGGGGCTCCACATCCTCTGCAGATCCAGGGAAAGGCTCAGGGGAGGGGTGGGACACCCAGACACAGGGTGAAGGAAGGTGCTGGGAGTGGGAAAAATCTCTGCCGAGGATGGGGTGGAACCTCCGTCCCTCCCATCCCGGCCATTCCCGGGGGTTTGGGACTGAATCCCCCCCTGGAGCAGCCCGAAATTCCCATCCCAGCAGCCCGAAATTCCTGCCCCGAGCAGCCCGAAATTCCTGCCCCGAGCAGCCCGAAATTCCCATCCCAGCAGCCCGAAATTCCCATCCCAGCAGCCCGAAATTCCTGCCCCGAGCAGCCCGGAGACCCCGGGGAAGCTGCTGGGAGCAGGAATCCATCCCCAGCCCCTTCCCCACCGCTGGGGCCGGAATTCCCGGGATGGGGCGGGGGATCAGCGGCGGCGCGGGGGCAGCGGCAGCTGCGCCCTCCGGGACCGGCTCCGCTCCCTCTTCCGGGGCTAAAAATACCCCGAGCTCCCCCGGGAGGGGCACGGCGAGGGCGGCATTGATCCCCGCAGCAGCGCTGTCCCCTCCCCGAGCGGGGACACGCCGCGCCCCGGCCACCCCCGGCTGGACGGGAAAGGGATGGGATTGCGGGATTGAGGGATTGAGGGATCGAGGGATTGAGGGATTGCGGGATCGAGGGATCGAGGGATTGAGGGATCGAGGGATTGAGGGATTGAGGGACTGAGGGGTGGGGTGGCCGGAGGCACCGCCGGGAGGTCACAAAGGGAAATAAAATCGGGAATGAGGGAGGGGACTGAGCAGAGAGCGCTGGGATGGGCACTGGGGGCAGCGCAGGGGGGATGGACCCGGGAATGGGAATGGAGGAGGGAATGGGAATGGGAATGGATGAGGAAGAGGGAATGGGATGGGGAGGAGGGAATGGGGAAGATGATACTGGGAAGATGAGCCTGGAATGATGCTCCAAACTGGGAATTGCTGGGGAATGGGATGGGGAGGAGGGAATGGGGAAGATGATACTGGGAAGATGAGCCTGGAATGATGCTCCAAACTGGGAATTGCTGGGGAATGGGATGGGGAGGAGGGAATGGATGAGGAGCTGGGAATGGGATGAAGAGGTGGGAATGGGACGAGGAGGAGGGAATGGGGAAGAAGATACTGGGAAGATGAGCCTGTAAGGATGCTCCAGACTGGGAATTGCTGGGGAATGGGGAAGCTGTGAATGGGCTGAGAGTCTGGGAGGTCTGGATGAATTGCTGGGGAATGGGGAAAGTGTCATTGGGAAGGGGAACCTGGGGGATGCCCGAAGTTGGAATTGTGGGAATGGGGAAGGTGTGAATGGGCTGAAAAGCCTGGGAGATGTGGAGCTGGGAATTGCTGGGGAATGGGGAAGTATGAATGGGCTGAAGAGCCTGGGAGATGAGGAGCTGGGAATTGCTGGGGAATGGTGCAGGTGTCAATGGGAATGGGAGCCTGGAGGATGCTCGGAGCTGGGAAGTGTGAGTGGGAAGCTGAGCCTGGAAAGATGCTCCAAACTGGGAATTGTGGTGGGAATGGGGAAGGTGTGAATGGGCTGAAGAGCCTGGGAGATGAGGAGCCGGGAATTGCTGGGGAATGGTGCAGGAATTGGGAAGGGGAAGCCTGGAGTGTGCTGGGACTCGGAATTGTGGTGGGAGTGGGGAAGGTGTGAATGTGCTGAAGAGCCTGGGAGATGAGGAGCCGGGAATTTCTGGGGAATGGGGAAGGCATTATCGAGAAGCTGAGCCTGGGCTGGGGGCACAGAGCGGGGTCCCCCCTCTCCCTCTGACCCCAGCGGGCAACGCCCGAGCACAGCCGGGCTCTGACCCCAGCCCTGCCCTGGCCAGGCGTCACCTTCTCGGACACGGCCAGCGCCACGGAGCCGTGCAAGCCGTGCACGCAGTGCGAGGGGCTGCAGAGCATGTCGGCGCCCTGCGTGGAGACCGACGACGCCGTGTGCCGCTGCGCCTACGGCTACTTCCAGGACGAGGCCAGCGGGAGCTGCCGCGAGTGCCGCGTCTGCGAGGCGGGCTTCGGCCTCATGTTCCCCTGCAAGGACTCGCAGGACACCGTGTGCGAGGAGTGCCCCGAGGGCACCTTCTCCAGCGAGGCCAACTTCGTGGACCCCTGCCTGCCCTGCACCACGTGCGAGGAGAACGAGGTGCTGCTGCGGGAGTGCACGGCCGTGGCGGATGCGGAGTGCCGCGGTAAGAGCCGGGCCCGGGCGGCTGCGGCGTTGTCACAGCGCCGCTGGCACCGCGGGGACATTCCCGGTGCTGGAGCTGCCTGGGTTTGGGGAGCGGTGCTGGGGTCTGGCAGGGCTGGGCACGGGAAAGGGGCTGGGGCTGCGTGCCTGTCCCCATCGGCATCCCAAACACAGCTCCAGCCCCTGGGGAAGGGGAAGGGGAGGAAAAAAGGGGAGAGAAAAGGGGAGAAAAAGGGGCAGGGCGAAAATCAGATCTGTGCTGAGCTCAGGGACAAAGCGGGGCTGCTCCAGAGGGGGCTGGGGCTGGTCCCACCAGGGCTGATCCCTCCAGGGCTGATCCCACCAGGGCTGATCCCACCAGGGCTGCTCCATTGAGGCTCATCCAGCCAGAGCTGATCCCACCAGGGCTGATCCCTCCAGAGCTGATCTCACCAGGGCTGATCCCACCAGGACTGATCCCTCCAGGGCTGATCCCTCCAGGGCTGATCCCTCCAGGGCTGATCCATTGGGGCTGATCCCTCCAGGGCTGATCCCTCCAGGGCTGATCCCACCAGGGCTGCTCCCTCCAGGGCTGCTCCTTCCAGGGCTGATCCCACCAGGGCTGATCCCTCCAGGGCTGCTCCCTCCAGAGCTGCTCCCTCCAGGGCTGATCCCTCCAGGGCTGATCCCTCCAGGGCTGATCCCTCCAGGGCTGCTCCCTCCAGAGCTGCTCCCTCCAGAGCTGCTCCCTCCAGGGCTGCTCCCTCCAGGGCTGCTCCAGTGGGGCTGATCCCATCAGGGTTGCTCCTTCCAGGGCTGATCCCACCAGGGCTGATCCCACCAGGGCTGGTCCCACCAGGGCTGGTCCCACCAGGGCTGATCCCTCCAGAGCTGCTCCCTCCAGAGCTGCTCCCTCCAGAGCTGCTCCCTCCAGGGCTGCTCCCTCCAGGGCTGCTCCCTCCGGCTCTCCTCGCCCTCCCAGCAGTTCCCGGGCTGTTCCCGTGTCCCGTCCCTCCCTGCCCCAGCACAGAGGGACAGCAGCGCTTTGTCCCGGCCGCCGCCGCGCCGGCAGCGGGGCAGCTCCCGCCGAGGGGTCGAGTAAATGGAGCCACAAGTCAAGGACACAGGGCCGGCTTTGTCCGCGGCGGGCTCGGGAGAGGCTCCCGGAGGGCAGCGGGGGCTGGGACACGGCAGGGCAGGATGCCACCAACCCCCAGCCACCCCTCCGTGACAGTGACAGCGACAGTGACAGCGACAGCGCTGCGGCCCCGGGGCCGGGGGGGCTGAATTCCAGCCTGGCACGATCCCAGCCTGGCACAATCCCAGTTTAGCACAATCCCAGTTTAACACAATCCCAGCCTGGCACAATCCCAGTTTAGCACAATCCCAGTTTAGCACAATCCCAGCCTGGCACAATCACAGCCTGGCACAATCCCAGTTTAGCACAATCCCATCCCAGTGCAATCCCATCCCAGCACAATCCCAGCCTGGTGCTGATCCCGGGGGTGGCAGGGGGTGGCAGGGGGTGGCAGGGTGAGGTCCCATCTCCTGCTGCAATTCCCGGCTCAGCCTCACTCCGGGATGGGCTGGGGGACGTGGCCTGGCCCTGGCACCGGGCAAAGGCCTGGACAGGGCATGGGGAATTTGGGATGGGATGGGATGGATGGGATCAATGGGATGGGATGGGATGGATGGGATGGGATGGGATGGGATGGGACAGGACGGGACGGGGTGGGATTCCACACCCAGGCGTTTCCCTGGACAAGCCCAGACGGCGCCGCTGCTCCCGGACACGCCCGGGTGTGGCAGGGGCCAGGGCAGGGTGACTCCCAGATGGAGCCCCGGGGCTGGCAAAGGGCAGATCCCGGCCCTGGCGCTGCGGGAGCGGCTCCGTGCGGGGCGGGGGCACCCGGGCTGCCTCAGCCCCCTCTGGGGTGGATTTGGGGCGGAGGGGGGCAGCTGTGCTGGGACAGCACTGACAAAGCCACCCCCGGGGCAGGGACAGCTGCGGCGTGCCCTGGACACAAACCAGGCCAAGCCTGGGGACAGGGGGACGAGGCAGGGCTGCCACCTCCACCATCCCCGCGGCCCTGGGAGGAGATCCCTGCAGAAATGCCCGTCCTGACCCCGACCCCCCTGCCCTGGCAGGCCTCCACCCTCGCTGGACAACGCACGCCCCGTTCCCGGGGGGCTCTGAGGGCCCCGAGGCGGCCACCAGGGAGCCGCCGAGCACCGAGGGCGCGGCCAGCACCGCGGGGGACACGGCCACCACTGTCATGGGCAGCTCGCAGCCCGTGGTGACCCACGGCACCAGCGACAACCTCATCCCCGTCTACTGCTCCATCCTGGCCGCCGTGGTGGTGGGGCTGGTGGCCTACATCGCCTTCAAGAGGTACCGGGACAGGGACAGGGATGGGACAGGGACACGGGGACACGGGGACACGGGGACAGGGGTTTGGGGAGGGGGGAACAGTGGGACCCCCACTCCGGGTGTCCCACAGCCACAGCTGCCACCACCGAGGGCAGCAGGATGGGCGGATCTCCAAAGTTGTGTGAGGGGTGAGGAGGGAGGTGGCAGCAGGGTGGGGGACACACTGCACCCCTGTCCCTGTCCCTGTATGTCACTGTCACTGTCCCTGTCCCTGTCACTGTCCCTGTCTTTATCCCCGTCCTGTCCCTGTCCTGGCACCAGGACAGAAACCAGAAAATGTGACAAACCCCAGGGATGGGGACAAACCCCAGGGAAGGGATGAACCCCAGGGAATGGGGACAAACCCCAGGGAATGGGATGAACCCCAGGGAAGGGATGAACCCCAGGAAAGGGGACAGGGCCCTGCCAGCCCGGGGACGTCACCCGCGTGCCGCTGTCCCCGCAGGTGGAACAGCTGCAAGCAGAACAAGCAGGGGGCCAACAACCGCGCGGTGAACCAGACGCCGTCGCCCGAGGGGGAGAAGCTGCACAGCGACAGCGGCATCTCCGTGGACAGCCAGAGCCTGCACGAGCAGCAGCCCCCGGGGCAGGGCAGCCAGGGGCCAGGTGGGGCTGTGGGGCACCCGGGGTGGGCAGGGCACCCAGGGGTGGGCAGGGACACCCTGGGGTGGGCAGGGACACCCCGGGGTGGGCAGGGGCACCCAGGATAGGCAGGGGCACCCTGGGGTGGGCAGGGGCACCCAGGATAGGCAGAGGCACCCTGGGGTGGGCGGGGCAGCCAGGGGTGGGCAGGGGCACCCTGGGGTGGGCAGGGACACCCTGGGGTGGTCAGGGGCACCCTGGGGTGGGCAGGGACACCCTGGGGTGGACAGGGACACCCCGGTGAGCACAGGGACACCCCGGTGAGCACAGGGACCCCCAGGGATAGACAGGGACACCCCGGTGAGGACAGGGACACCTGGTTAAGGACAGGGACACCCCGGTGAGCACAGGGACACCCCGGTGAGCCCGGGGAGGACAGGCACACCCCGGGCAGGCTCTCATCCCTCCCCTCTCGGGCAGCAGCCCCCAAGGCCGACGGGACCCCGTACGCGGCGCTGCCGGCCAGCAAGCGGGAGGAGGTGGAGAAGCTGCTGGGCAGCTCGGCCGAGGACACGTGGCGGCAGCTGGCGGGCGAGCTGGGCTACAAGGAGGAGCTGCTGGAGGCCTTCACGCGCGACGAGGCGCCGGCGCGGGCGCTGCTGGCGCACTGGGCCGGCCGCGAGTCGGCCACGCTGGAGGCGCTGCTGGCCGCCCTGCGCCGCCTGCAGCGCGCCGACATCGCCGACAGCCTGGCCAGCGGCTCCACCGCCACCTCCCCCGTCTGAAGGGCGGCCCGGGGGGGCTCGGGGCCGGGGGCACCCCACAGGGGTCGCTCCGGGCCCCCCCGGAGGAGCTCGCGGTGCCGGTACCGGCCGCTCCCCGAGGCGGTCCCGCCCGGCAGCCCCTGATGGGGTTGGGGGGTTCGGCCTCGCCCCCCCGTCACACATCCAGCCCTGGGGGCTGCGGGACGGACGGACAGATGGACAGATGGGCACGGGAGGGATGGCCGTGCTGTCAGCCCTCTCCGCTGCCCCCCTTCAGCTCCTCCTGCTGCCCCTCCGCTCCCCCCAGCGCCCCCAGACCTGGCTGCGCTCCCCCGAGGGGGAAGGGGGGGCTCGGGGGGGCTGGGGGAGGGCAGCCGGACCCCACACTGTGAAACTTGGGGTGCGGCCTCCCCGCAGCTCCGCGGGGATTCGGGGCAGCAGCCGCGACCAGCCCGGACACTGCGGAGCGGATTTTGGGGTGCCACCACCCCCCCGTGGGGTCCGGGGGGACACCCAGGGGACACCCAGGGGACACCGAGGGGACACCGAAGGTGGAAAGCGCTGCCCAAGTGCCTGCCCCCCGCGGGGACACCCCCAGGGCTCCGCTCCCGCCCTGTCCCCGCTGTCCCCGAGCTGCCGAGGCCACCCGAGGCCACCCGAGGCCAGCGTGGCACCGTTGCACTGTCCCCCTGTCCCCACCCTGCGTCAAAGGGCTCCTCTGTGCCAGCACTGTGAGAGCGGCTCGGGAACGTCCCCGAGGGTCCCTCCGGCCCCTGGGTGACCCCAGCACCTCCCAGGGAGGTGACATCGCTCAAAGGGCGTTTTGGGGACGTTTGGGCCCCAGCTGGGCGAGCTGGAGCGGCCACTGGGCTGGGGATGTCCCTCGAGTGTCACCAGCCTGGACAGTGTCCCCTGAGTGCCACCGGGCTGGGGATGTCCCCTGAGTGCCACTGGGCCAGAGATGTCCCCTGAGCTGCCACCGGGCTGGGGATGTCCCCTGAGCTGTCACTGGGCTGGGGATGTCCCCTGAGCTGTCACTGGGCTGGGGATGTCCCTCGAGTGTCACCAGCCTGGACAGTGTCCCCTGAGTGCCACCGGGCTGGGGATGTCCCCTGAGCTGTCACTGGGCTGGAGAGTGTCCCCAGAGTGGCCACCAGCCTGTGAGTGTCCCCAGAGTGCCACAGGGCTTGGGAAGTGTCCCCTGAGCTGCCGCCAAGCTCCCAGTGATGTCCCCAATGCTTTGCCCAAGTGGATGAGGCGCCTCCAGGTGCGCCGGGCACGCCCTGGGCCAGGTGTGGCACAGCCCAGGTGTGGCACAGCCCAGGTGTGGCACAGCCCAGGTGTGGGCACAGCCCAGGTGTGGCACAGCCCAGGTGTGCCAGGCACAGCCCAGGTGTGGCACAGCCCAGGTGTGGCACAGCCCAGGTGTGCCAGGCACAGCCCAGGTGTGGCACAGCCCAGGTGTGGCACAGCCCAGGTGTGCCAGGCACAGCCCAGGTGTGGCACAGCCCAGGTGTGGCACAGCCCAGGTGTGGCACAGCCCCAGGTGTGGGCACAGCCCAGGTGTGCGCACAGCCCCAGGTGTGCCAGGCACAGCCCCAGCTGTGGCACAGCCCAGCTGTGGCACAGCCCCAGCTGTGGCCTCTCCACCCCTCTGGGTTCACCCCAAATCCCCCCGAAGGCAGAGCGGGGTTCCCCCCTCCCGGATCTGTAAATAGGAATTGTGCTGTGTGACCCCGGGGACAGCCCCGTCCCCTCTCCCCTTCCCGGTGGGAATTCCCATCCCAACCCCGTGGTCCCCCCTCGTTCCTGGCCCTACAGACCCCGGGGGGGCAGAGGAACGATCACCCCAAATCCCGCAGCAGGCCTGGGGTGTCCCGGGGGCCGGAGCTGCTCCCGTGGGATTCCGGCCCCAGATCCCCCAAAACCTTCCGGGGGTTTCCCTCCCTGCTCGGGGTGATGAAGCTGGGCTGGGATCTGGGGGATTCCCACCAAGATCCCTTGGGAAGAGCCAGGCCTGGCTGGAATTGCTGAAAATCCCAAATCCCAGCCCCAAGCTCCTCCCACCGCCCAAATCCAGGGAAATTTGCCCCAAATTTCCGACCCCACTCGCAGTGGGCGATGGAAACCCCCAGGTCCTGCCAGACCCAGCCACACCGGGGGGGGATTTGGGGTGAATTCGGGGTGGATTTGGGATGGATTTGGAATAGATTTGGGGGATGGATTTGGGATTAATTTAGGATGGATTTGGCATGAATTTGGAGTGAATTTCAGATGAATTTGGAATGGATTTGGGGGATGGATTTGGCATGAATTTGGGATGGATTTCAGATGAATTTGGAATAGATTTGGGGCATGGATTTGGGATTAATTTAAGATGGATTTGGCATGAATTTGGAATGGATTTCAGATGAATTTGGAATAGTTTTGGGCCATGGATTTAGGATTAATTTAGGATGGATTTGGCATGAATTTGGAATGGATTTCAGATGAATTTGGAATGGATTTGGGATTAATTTAGGATGGATTTGGCATGAATTTGGAATGGATTTCAGATGAATTTTGGATGAATTTGGAATGGATTTGGGGTGGGTTTGGGATGAATAATGGCATGAATTAGGGATGGAATTGGCATGAATTTGGAATGGATTTGGGATGAATCTTGGATTGCTTTGGGATGAATTTGGGGTGGGTTTGGGATGGATTCCTTCACTGGCCGCCTTCAGGTAGCTCCCATTGTTCTGGGATTTTTGGAAAAGCGACTCCAGGATGGGCTGGGGGTGCCTGGGACGAGGTGCCCGGATCCAAACTGAATCTCCTGGAATCCCAGCCCAGCCCAGCCTGTCCCGCTGGGAATTCTGTTCCTCAGGACAACCCTGCCTCGCCCGCAGGTTTTCATTGCCATGGGAAGGGCTCTCAGCACCCCCAATCCCCAAAAATTGAATTTTCAGAGCCGAGGGAACGGGGACAAACTCAGCATCCAAAGAGGAGCCGGGGCTGCCTCAACCCCCCCTGGCTGCGGGACAGAAATGGAAATAAAATCCCAAAAAACACCAAAAAACCCCAAAGCCAGCGGGGAAAGCCAAGCCAAAGTCAGAGCTCGTTTCGTGTCATACCAAGCCCGTGTGTCCCTCCACTCCCCGCGGTAATTCCAGGGCCGATTTTGTAGGATAGAAGGATTTTGGGGGGTCTGGGGGCAGCATGAGCCGGGGGTGCACGGGGGAGGCCCGGGGGGTGGGATTTGTCCGTGTGTATCCTTGGGATGCCAATAAAGCGTCGTTGTCGTTGTCCCGCTCGCTTCTTCCCTGAAAAACCTGGGAATGCAGGGTGGGAAAAGCCCTCGACGCCTTCCTGGTGGGATTTCCCTCCTTTCCCTCCCCATTCTGATCCCAAATCCCTGAATTCCCAGAGCAGGAAAAGCAGGAAACGAGGTGGGCTTCGTGTGTGGGATCAGGGACAGCAGCTGGATTTATGGGGAGAGAGGGAAAAAAGGGGGGAAATTCGGAATAAATCTGGAAAGGCCAAAGAGGAGCCGGGGCTGCCTCAACCCCCCCTGGCTGCGGGACAGAAATGGAAATAAAATCCCAAAAAACGCCAAAAAAACCCCAAAGCCAGCGGGGAAAGCCAAGCCAAAGTCAGAGCTCGTTTCGTGTCATACCAAGCCCGTGTGTCCCTCCACTCCCCGCGGTAATTCCAGGGCCGATTTTGTAGGATAGAAGGATTTTGGGGGGTCTGGGGGCAGCATGAGCCGGGGGTGCACGGGGGAGGCCCGGGGGGTGGGATTTGTCCGTGTGTATCCTTGGGATGCCAATAAAGCGTCGTTGTCGTTGTCCCGCTCGCTTCTTCCCTAAAAAACCTGGGAATCCAGGGTGGGAAAAGCCCTTGACGCCTTCCTGGTGGGATTTCCCTCCTTTCCCTCCCCATTCTGATCCCAAATCCCTGAATTCCCAGAGCAGGAAATGCAGGAAACGAGGTGGGCTTCGTGTGTGGGATCAGGGACAGCAGCTGGATTTATGGGGAGAGAGGGAAAAAAAGGGGAAAATTCGGAATAAATCTGCAAAGGAGCCTGATGTTCGCACGGGCTGCGGGAAATCCCTGGAAAAGCTGCTTCCCCTTTTTTATGGGAGTCCGGGGAGCTGCTCCATCCCACATCTGCTGCCAGGGGGGCGGCAGGGCCACAGCCCCCCGGATCCGCCGGGAAAAATCCCAAACCCCTCCCCAGCCCCGGGCCTGGGAAAAGGCAGAAATCGCTGGGAAAAAACTGGGAAAAAATCCAAGTTCAGCTCCACGGAGGCGCTTTTCACTCACCCCCCACGGGGAGCCGGGAGCTTCCCTGGGAGCGGGAAGGGAAAGGAAAAGCGGGAGGGGAAAATGGGGATGGGAAAATGGGGATGGGAAAATTGGGATGGGAAAATGGGGATGGGAAAATGGGGATGGGAAAATGGGGAAAGGAAAAACGGGAAGGGAAAAGCGAGAAGGGAAAACCAGGAAGGGAAAGTGGGAAGGGAAAACTGGGAAAGGAAAATGGGGAAGAGAAAACTGGGAAGGGAAAACTGGGAGGGGAAAATTGGGAAGGGAAAATGGGGAAGGGAAAATTGGGATGGGAAAACCGGGAAGGGAAAGCCAAGAAGGGAAAACCGGGAAAGGAAAACTGGGAAGGGAAAAGCGTGAAGGGAAAATTGGGAAGGGAAGAGCATGAAAGGAAAACCAGGAAAAGTAGGAAGGGAAAAGTGGGAAAGGAAAACTGGGAAACTGGGAAGGGAAAAGCGTGAAGGGAAAATTGGGAAGGGAAAACTGGGAGGGGAAAATCGGGAAAGGAAAGCTGGGAAGGGAAAATCACGAAGGGAAAGCCAAGAAGGGAAAAACAGAAAGGAAAACCAGGAAAAGCAGGAAGGGAAAAGTGGGAAAGGAAAATGGGGAAGGGGAAAGCGGGAAAGGAAAAGCAGGAAGGGAAAACCAGGAAGGGAAAAGCGGGAAGGGAAAATTGGGAAGGGAGATTTGGACTCCCAGGGCTCCCGGCCCGGCTGCAGCCGACCATCCCAAACCTCCCGGAATTCCCTCCCCGTGCCCCGGCTGCCCCCAAGCCCTCCCCCCGTTTCCCGCAGGTTTCTCCCAGATTTCCGCGGGTTTGGGGGCGCAGCGGGGGCAGGGAGGGGGCTCTGGAGGCGCTCCCGGCCCCCATCCCGATCCCAAGGTGGCTCCCAGATGCCGCCGCATTCCCCGCTAATGGGAAGCAGCTCCAGCCCCGGGCCCAGCTGGGGCCCAGGATTTTCCAAAACATCCCTCGGGAGGAGCATCCCGGCCCCGCGGGACCCCCTCAACCCTTCCGGGGCCTCGGCAGAGCCGGGAATGCCCCCCCGGGGGGA